GACCCAGTCTGGTTTAAATGACTTACCAACTAGCAAATTGTCTTAACACTGCAACCAAAATGCCGTGCAACTCGGCGGCGAGACTTCCCAGCCTGGATCATGCCTACAGCCCTTTCTCTCTGTACTTGTGACAGCCGGGGCATAATGATAAAGTTGATAGATAGCAAGATTCGGTGATTTCTAAGTCTGAAGGATCTAAGGGACAGTTGTCAGTTTGAATGTTTATGAAATTCAAGCGAAGATACAAGTTAGTCGAAGAAACCCTCGTGCAGCGCTTTCGCTAATACAGACTTTCACGCTTGAAGGATTTTGGTAACCCCCTTGGATTTTGTAATGTAAAACATTACCATTTTCTAATATTGCACAAACGTCATTTTGTTTTCACTCATTTACAGGTATTCGCCAGGAAACATGTTAACCTTTCTGTTTTTGTTGAGTATATGTATCCATTCTAAATCACTCCCTGAATAGTCCTGGCAATGATACATATACTATCTAAACATATATCTATGTACAATGAGGAGGAAGTCCTGATTTTATCTATCCAGGTCTTTTCATGTTACAATGATAGATCATAGCAGGTCACCGGCACGTGCGATCAGAACAGGTGTCATTAACATGACTTACAAGCACGCAGCATTGTCCACGCAATGATGAATGTTTAATAATATATGTAGGCCAAAATTTTAAAAAAAACGCGTGTTCCAATACTATAAAAAATAGCTGCGTTCGGGCTAACGGATAAACGTCCTTACTTCATTACTTGATTATATATATGTAGATTGGAGTGTGGTAAAACCATAATTCGAAACGATTGATATCAAAAACGATTGTATACAGAACCCTTTGTCACTTGAGACATTACCCTAGGGCATTGACCCAGGTTTACATGGCGTGTGTCGTTGATGAAGCAGAGGACACTTACTCTTCCGGAACACCAAGAAAATACCAGCATGTCAAAATAATCATAATCTCTTCCCCTGAACTCAGCAGTACAATGACAATAACACTTAGTGTTCTGGAAGGAGCATAATTACACCATTACATAGTATTTTTCATTACACATATAGATAATGACCGTGATTGCCTGGAGATTTCAAAATTTAAATTGCAATGTCATAACCTCATGACATCATATATATTGTGACCTTACCAAAGAAACAATATTGAATGAAAATGAGGTCACTTTACCTTTTATCAGTCAAATGAGATTATTTTCAAAAATTAATTTCATAGAAAATAAATACATTAGTGTAAGATAGTATTCATTATTTGATTATTTATGTAGTATTCGAATTTTCCAAACTTCATAAAAAAGAGTAATTATTAAAATCTATTTGGCTCTAGTATGAATAGATACAGAGATAATCTCCAACTGTTTACAGCCTATGTCTTCTCCCCAGGGACTGGTCACGATTTCAACTGCCACGTGCAAGCTTATCGTGTAGGTGTTGTCTCATTGGTCCACGTCCAGCCATCTGCACTCACAAAAATTGGTTCATGTTCTCCACATTTCTATATCTCTAGTGTTTTATCAATTTGTTATTTAGTGGGAAAAAACTCTCTCACTTAAACCCATCTATGTTGTTGAATATGAGCCAGTACAATTAACCTTCGATGTGAAAGCATCATTTGCCTTGTGTCTTTAATTCTTTAATATATCACGAGTGTGTCTATATTTTGTACACCATCTTTGTTGTGACATGATATGGGAACAAATTACATTGATTTAATGTGCAATCGTCCAATAGTATTCTGATGTTAGAGAATGAAAAATTATGATCCTTTTTTACCACAATTATTCGTATATATCATAAACAAACTATCTTTGAACAAAAATCATTATTTATATATTATTGTAAGTATAACTCTAACAATAACACAAGCTTCAGTCTCTGAATACATTTCAATGCTAACACATAATGCTATTTTGTTGTGTGATGAACAGAATCTTACATCATCTTCTCTTTTATAAACTGTTGATGAATTTTCCACTTTACCTAGCAAAAGACTAAATTAAAAAGCACAAGACTTTTATCACTGATTCATGTAAGATCCTTTAAACCACTTTCGTATTATGAAAAGCAATAAAGAATGCAGACTTATTCAACACTGCACGTTGTCATTGGCATCAAATTGATGAACAGTCTACTTCTGGTCACAGAAATGCCTGCACATCATTCTAATTCATATGGTCTCAGTATTACATAGAAAAGAAATCCAATAGCAGAATGCAAAAAAGAGAGACAGAACAGAGTGATAACGAAAAGCACGGGTAAAATTGCGAAACAATTTATAGCAACTTCTACTAATCACTTTTGTTGGTTCGAAGGTAAGTACTTGAGGGGTCTTACTGTTATAAACACTTCTTTTCAAATCAAACAGTGCTTCTATCATACTACAAGTTCTATTCTGAAGAAAATGTACTTAAAATGGTGGATTTCAATCCCCTTAGATTAGCGTAACATGCATACCACATGCTTTATGATTTGAATGTCAAAGACAAGTTCTTTTTGAGAAAAATTTAATAATGTTTGTAGACAAGGGTCAAGTTATTGGACTCAATAAAAAAAATAGCATGTGAATCTTGAAGATGTAACATGTTTTGTTTTCAGTTTAGATTTAAGACTGCAAATCATTTTAAGAATGATGGACCGAAAGGACTTCACCCCATCAGAAAGTGTATCGAACATAACATTTTCACTTTTCCATCCATTCTCTTGCATCGTTTACAACAAAGTCCATAAGTATCTTGAAATGTATACTGCAGTTAACGGACGGGGTTTCACGGTATTTAGGACCCTTCATGAAACACCTTCGTAGCTTGCCATTTTGAATAATGCTTGAATCAACAGCTGGACGATAGTTAGAGTTAGAGGATTGTTTCTGCTTTGAAAGTACTTTGGAATGTCAGCTTGAAAATATTTCTGGTGTGAAATAATACTGATGTGTACAGCATACACTCCCTTATTTACATCTTAACGTCCATTAATTGACGAGTTGATGAAGGATCACAGCAGTCAGTAAGGGCAGGTTTAAAAAGTCTTATTTGTTCCATCTCATGAACAATTTTATGAAGTATCCAATCTAGATTCCACAGGTCACAGAAGCAGTAATGTAACGTAGTTCAAACATGATGGATGCCTAACTGGTTTGATTTATTTTACAACAATTGCGTCGCAAATTTTTCCTACATATATCAATCATTTTATTGGCCTGGATGGAAGCACACAAGGGGTCTTGTTGTGGGAGGAAACAAGAGTACCCGGGGAATACCCACGTGGCCTGGAATTGAACACCGGATGGCTTGGAGAAAGGCGAGTGCGTTACCACTGCACCATTTGACAACCCTAATGGTTTCTGTGAAGTATCCATTAGATTTTCAAACTGCCATATTTATTTTAATGCATATTTCCGTGGCTAGGATTACGTCTAGATTCAGGAGTGAATACATACTGAACATAAGTGTTACTTCATCCATGGTGGTAATTTGTTTCTCCAAAATACAGACATTCATCGACATTAAAGATGGTCCAGGAGGTTGAAACGTTGACACAAATATTGCTTTTTCTCCACTGCTGACTGCTGAACGATGACAATGCTTACGTTGTCTTAACTATCCTTTTGTTTCGACAAAACACAGAGCACATCCAATACCATAAGCAAAGCTTGTATTTTTACAATTTAGGGTAAGAAACCTCTGGTAGTATAAACTTTATAGGTAAATGAACCATTGCATTTTTTTTAAATATTCGAGAAGATTTAATAGCAAAACATATTTAAAAAGCTAAGGAATCTTACTTGGCATGCTACCAACCAGACATTCATGGTATGGATCAGTCAAACTAATGGGAGTTTCTATAGAAATGAAGACACATCAACTCCTCTCCAAAATCAAGGGACTTGCTACTTCAGCTCGAAAAACATCCTGATATAGCATTTCTTTATTGCTCAGGTAATAAGGATATTGCAAGTTTCGCAGTTTTTTGTTCCGCATTTCGAAATGTCGACCAAATTCTTCAGGTAAATTACCTCAATTACAATTGTTTGGATTATCTCCCTTTGTGCTGATTCAGATTTGCTCAGCAGCATCTCTTTTAGGAAGTCAATAATATTGTTCACGCGTAAAACGCATATTCCTCTACTTCAAAATTTGAAGCTGTGGTATTCCTTGATTTTTATATGTGTGCGTGTTGGCAGCTGACTTCTACAAAATGCCGCCATTCAAGCGGTTGGGTTCTATGCCTTACAGACTTTACTCGCCAATCACGTGACGGTTGGAGATATCTCAGTCTACCGTTTCCAAGAGAATGGCATGGAAATGTAAAAATATTATGTCTGAATACGATAAAACCCAAACCGCTAACCATCGTTCATGTTGATATATTTCAAAATATACTGCCTAAGAAATGACTCAATTATTTCTTTATATCAACATATGAAATAAGTTTCCTGATCTTATCAGCTATAGTCACGTGCTTATTGTGAAGACTTGAGATTAGAACCGAGACACCGTCTCTTCTGTCCATTACGACATTAAGAAGGTAGGTAGGTTATACTTATGTATCTAGTGGAATCGACAATGCTATTGTAACAGTAACACAGTAAAATGTGAATGTTCTCCCGCGTGTATTGTTCGGGATCATCCACAATTATTTGCAATTGAGAGATATAATGGAACTTCTGTAAATAGTGATATTTATCTTAAGCAGGAATGTGTTGTAATGTTTTATCGTCTTTATCTAGTTGAGTTACCCATGTTCAAGGGAACGTTGAACTTTAATGGACGTTATGTATATATGTTCATAACACAAATGAGAGCGTCACAATGATATTGCCCGGTGGCGATTTAATTGAATTCGTTGTTTGGTTGGGTTTTTTTTTTACAAAGATAATGTATTGATATTTATGACATTAAAGATTTAAACTTTCTTTATTTTATTTATATAAAAATATTGTTTTACATATAATTATATTACAGCATTATTTTTTCTAGCAATATGAGGTTGTGTGTACTGCTCTCCGTTGTGACTCTGACGGCGGCAGCTGTTGTCCCAGGTAAATAATCACAACGAAAAGCTTCGATGCACATGCTGCACATGTGATTGGTTTTCCCATTAAACATTCAGTTATATCATTTCCATCCCCTTTCCTTCAATTTGGAAATGTTACTCTCCTGTTATAAAACATTTGACCTCAACGACACTCGATTGCATGCTATTTCACTTATAAGTTTTACAAATACAGAATTCAGCAAAATAATGAGGACGTGTTTTTTATATAGTAATGAACTGTTTCTCGCAAGGATACAAGACAGCTGAGAGTAGCCGATAGTGATTGTAGGATATGCCTGTAAAATCTAGGTGACGAAGTGAGTCACTTCACTTGAAATCATCCTTTTTTACGCCATTTTGGTTTTACATTTGGTGAAGGTTATTATAATTGTTGTATGATTTGCTGCCTTTCATCTCAGATATTCGATTTTTGTCGGAAAAGAATGATGGATGTATTAATTATAATACTTTACGATGTTTTGTGAATTTCAGACAACAAAAGAAGGTAAGGTCGCTTACATGTTGAACCTAATATAAAAATGTCCTTCTTGAAACTAATTAATCTTTATGTCTAGTTTCACATCAATTTAATCGTAGTGCTAACATAACTCAGGCAAATCTCTGACCATTGGTTGTAATAAAAGTAACACTACTATTAAATGTATGTACTTGCTTCTTTTCACTAGGAAGTGATAAGTAAATTCCGTATTTATGTACATAAAAGATACTTATGTCTTATTCATTATTAGTTATAACATTAAATAATATGTATTCGATATCTTAATGACGAGCTACAAAGTATAATGATACATCATCAAAAACACTATTTAATTTTATCACAATATCTCTTTGAAAATTGCTTTCATTGTTTTGGTCAGCGATACAGATTTCCTGAACGAATTTGCACAACAGCTTGCTATGCTTGGAGAGCATTTTGCGGAAACAGCATCTCATGCAGCCCAAATCGCTCTGCAAAATCTAGTTCCATCAGCGTCCCCAAAGAGAAGGTATACTGCTTAATATAAGAACTTAATCATCATAGCAAGGTCTTTGTATTATTGACATTGAAATTTTGCTATCAAACGTTTATAAATACCGAAAAATAAACCGAAAAGTTGTGTCCAAATCTACATTTACGTTGTAACTTCCACAGACACAAAAACAAAACACAAAAAGCACACAAAACAAACATGTCATATTTCATTGATCGGTTGTAGAACTATAGGTTAAAGCACATTTTGATTGTAAGTTGTGTTTTATTCATATAACATAGAAAAACCAGTTAAGTTTGAAATAACTTCTTCGGCATTCTACTGAAATCGTATCACTGAAATTCATATTGTTGAAAAGCTATAAAAGATGTGTAATTTTAACATCAGCTTAAAATGATCACAAAGATGTAAAGGAATATAGCTATATTTTCATTCTGTTTCATAATCAGTGACAATGACTTCCTGAATCAATTTGCTCAACAACTGGCTCTTCTTGGTGAACACTTTGCTGAGACCGCTTCTCATGTCGCTGAATCCGCTCTACACAATCTAGCACCATCAACATCCCCGAAAAGGAGGCGAGTACATCAGTTTTACTTTTGACCTTCATTGCTATTGCTGTATACTTTTTTTCAAATTTTGGGGCCGAGGTGGCCAAGTGGTTTAGACGTCATACTGTTTCTATCACTTGTCCTCAACCTGTTGAGTCATGGGTTCTAGGCTTACGTCCGCAGTCGCTAGGTACTGGACGCAGGTCGAGGGTTTGTCACCAGGTACAACGGCTTTATTCCGCAACCAAACATTGTTAAACAACTTTATTTAACACTGGCGGTTAACAGGACAGCAACAAAACAAATTCAATTTAAATGAACAATTAAACGCCTAATTCTCCAAATATTCCAACTTCTACTCAATTTGGACTCGTTCAAACTACAAAATTTGGCCCGTTCCATCTGCCGATGACTTTGACCACATCAATATTGATATCGCCGTATGAATACGTCTTACACAGATTCTTTTAGAGGAGAAACCCTTACGAATGTTTTATGCTAAACTTTGCATAAATGTCTTCAAATTTGCTCCAGATTTGCTGAATAGAACATGATAAAGAATATTTATAATAATCTATTAAATAAATACAGATATGACTTAATGGTCATTTTCAGCCGAACATCAAACAAATGTTTATTTACCCTCCCACTGCCTGAAAATGAAAATTTCCAACCAGGCCAAGACCGCCTACTGAGAGATTTTGATAAAGAGTTGCTTCATGACTGAGTTCATGATGTCATGAGTACATAGGCCTCAGAGAAAGGCCACAAAATACACTCCATGACACTTTTAAATGGCTGCTGCCTAGTTCGAAGCGTAACGGGAGACGACCGTAGAACTCAACACCTGATCTCAGTATAAACGTCATTCTTCTGCCAAACTGTCGGAGAATTTTCCTGATTTTTAAGATTCTTTGATTTTATCTAAACATATTTTATCATCAGTAGCTGATACGTGGATCAGAGACAAGTTCTAGCAACGTATGGACTCTTGTCCAAAAAACATCACGAATAATTAATATGCTACACGTGACATATATCTATACTATAAATATGAAGATATGTAATTCGTAGACGATACAATTGTTAGTTTCAATCATTTTGTCAAAAGAGGGAGAAATTGACATTATTATCATTACAAGTAAACGGTGGCTTTATATTTTATATGATGTGTCGTATAATCGTGAATTGCCTACTTAATACTTTTTTATCATCATCTTATTCAAAATGTCGGAACTATATTTTTAACGCAATCCATTTACAAGTTCTGGTAACTGCAGACTTAGACCTGTTCAATACATTGAAAAGAAACCGTGTTAATTGATTCCATACTTAGATATATACATGTGAAACAAGATTTTATAAATAAACATTGATGTTTGTCTGTCTTCAAATCTTTTTGTTTCTTATTCAGTGACGACACCGATTTCCTCAATCAATTTGCTCAACAGTTGGCTCTGCTTGGTGAACATTTTGCTGAAACTGCAGCCCATGTCGCTGAGATATCATTGCAAAACCTAGTTCCGTCTGCATCCCCAAAGAGGAGGTATTTAGAGATATTTATGTATATTACCAACTGATACACATACAAAGGTGAAATCTTCATGTGATATTTAATATGTCGATATACAAAAAGACCCGTATCATACACAAAAGCGTCTCTTTGGGCAGGATTTCCTTTCTCGTTAGTGACACCGATACACATTGATGTTTATTTGTCTTCAAATATTTTTATGTTTCTTATTCAGTGACGACACCGATTTTCTGAATCAATTTGCTCAACAACTGGCTCTTCTGGGTGAACACTTTGCTGAGACCGCTGCTCATGTCGCTGAATCCGCTCTACACAATCTAGCACCTTCAGCATCCCCGAAAAGGAGGTATTTCATCTAGTGTGTGTTTTAAATGATGCTAAAATGTTTGCAAAAAAAAACAAAAAACTAGATGAAACTATTATTCTTTAAAGAAAAGCGTTTTGTTAAGAAATATGCGTTTATTATTTTCTTTTATTATTAGTGATACCGATTTTCTGAATGAGTTTGCGCAACAGTTGGCATTGCTTGGGGAGCACTTTGCTGAAACTGCGGCTCACGTTGCTGAAACCGCTCTCCATAACCTGGTCACATCCCCAGCACCATAGACAACGTAAATGTATTTACAAATTTGTCAGTGACGTTATTAAAAGATGTAAACATTTTCAAAAGTTGTCAGTGATTTGTTGAATAGAGTCTTCTGCCACTAATGCGTATAATAGCAACATCACACTTTTGTCTTTACCTATGTAGATAGGGGAGGGGGCGTTAGGTCAGTCTGGAAGTCATTGGCCTTTGTCACCTGGAATGACTGTCTGAAGAGCGTGGTTCAAATGGCCAGGAAGCTGGGAAACGGACAGGTCTGTGCTGACGTAATTGTAGGCTTGGTCAAGACACGGCATGCGACGCGTCTTCCGTATGTTGTGCAATGATATAGACATCGGCTTCTATAAAATGACTTGCTGCTCGAGTGGAAATAAACTCAGGATAAAGAATGTAACCTGAGTTTTCTTTTGAGAGTTAAAGGATGTATATCAACCAGACTTTTACCGCCCTCCTTTGTATAGTTATCATGATACTCTTGGAGTGATTTCAAATGTAACGATACTGCTACAATATCAACCTAACACTGATAAAATAGACAGACAGAAAAAACAACATTTAAAATACCGACCTGTTAACAAACCCATAATTCGAACACAACTTTGATGAATATATTGCAAAATATGAACAAAAGAACGATTTACAGAAAGATGCACATGAAGACACCTGGAAACGTACATGAAGAAAACCCCCAGGTGTTCCGGAAGGGTTGGCGTCTTCTGTTTTTTACACCTGCTATATAAATATTGGTCAAACCAAATAAGTAAATCATTGTCACTTTGCCAGATGAGAACAGTGTAAATATCAAAGGAACCACCAGGCATACTAACGAACACGTCCGGATTTATATTGCACGACGAAAAAACAACTAAGGCACGCCAAGGTGAAAAACAACACGAAAATTGTAAAAAGATAGCACAATCATTCTCTAAGGTAAAAATTCGATGCAACGAAAGCATAACAGGGAAAAAAAAACATTAAAAAAGTACAAGGAGACAACGACAAAAAAACAATCTTTAATGTCTAAGGATTGTTTTATAATAAAAAGTAAATATAATTGGTTTCGTCCTCTGTTTTAGTTAAACTGATAGAACTGATAAAATTTAAGTAATATTGATGAAATATAGGATATTTAATAGTGTCTTCAGTAATAACAAATATATTTCACTAGTGTGGCTAATATTTTGGTATACCAAACATATTAGCAACACGAGTGAAATATATTTATTATTACTGAAGACACTAATAAATATTCTGTTTATTACATTTTCATCGCAAAAATAAATCAAAACAATGGCAAACTTACGATAACTTTAAAATGGGTAAGTTGACCATGCTTTTTCCACACACTACTCACTCATTATACAACGATGTTGTGCGCGGCAAAAAATAGTCCATTTTATGAAAAATCAGTAAAAATATACAGACTCATAAATAAATCATAATGCATGTTTATTTGTGTTTGGACATGGATTTTGTAATTTATTGATGTCACTTACACACAATAAAATGGTTTAAACGTTAACTAAAAAAAAAAAAATAAAAACAATGTTTGATAAATTCTTCCGCGCATGAAAAAGTATGGCGCCATCCTAGTCGCTATCACTATCAATGACACGGATTCTTTTAAAATGCCTTGGTCCACACTTAAGACTCTCAGAACGGGGATGGGTTTGACCACTGATAACATAGTTAGAGTTACTGGCTAGCATCGTCTACTGACTGCCATGAAAATGGGAATTAACGGTAGAGTTGAAGGTTATGTTCCCAGTGAACAAAGCCCCGACATATGGGAATGGCTGCTGATTTGGCCCCGATATATTGCGCTCTCTGATTGGTCAATCGTCAAAGTGATATTTTTACCAGTGATAAAAAATATCACTTTTATCAGTTTGAGATATCCCTATATTTCTTTTCAAAATGTGTACAGTAAATGTTCTATCAGGATCATTGGTGTTATCTGGAATCTCTGTTTCAATCTAATATTCAATCCAATACTTGAATAGTTCAAAACATATGTAGGTTGTAGTTAATTAGGATATGAAGGTGAAATGGGTTAAAATATACAACAAAAAGGGGTGCATATCACAAATGTCTAGCTTCATCCATAAGCATAGGCTTGGCACTTTTGTCTTCTACCACCCTCGCGAAAACACACAGCTTATATCTGACCATGTATTTTGTATAAATTGTATTATTTGATTATTGACATTAAAGATATACACCTTTAACATGATTCCATTTAGTTATTGCTTCCTTTTGTTTTACAGGGTCAGTCACAGACTTTAAATCAACTTCAACTTTTCAATTTAACTAGCTTAAGTTCTCAACGAAAAGTAAACTTCAAAGTCATAGTACTTAATTAAGGAGAAGACGTCTACACTACGTCACTTCCTGTGATCGAGTTACAGTACTTTGTAAGGAGAAGACTTCTACACTACGTCACTTCCTGTCATCGAGTTACAGTACTTAGTAAGGAGAAGACATCTACACTACGTCACTTCCTGTGATCGAGTTACAGTACTTAGTAAGGAGAAGACATCTACACTACGTCACTTCCTGTCATCGAGTTACAGTACTTAGTAAGGAGAAGACTTCTACACTACGTCACTTCCTGTCATCGAGTTACAGTACTTAGTAAGGAGAAAACGTCTACACTACGTCTCTTCCTGTGATCATGTTACAGTATGATTATTGTAACATTTTGATTTTTTTAAAGGTACTTTGTTTGAAACTGCCGTCCAATGTTTTTGTTTTCTCTTCGCTTGATGATAAAACACTGAATTTAAAATTTCCGTTGTCTCTGCGCTTTACCTAGTTATTGTTTTTGGTTATTGGTCGACATCTATATATATGTGTGTGTGTGTGTGTGTGTGAGGGTGTGTGTGTGTGTGTATGTGTGTCTCCTTGAGTCACTTCTCTCTTGCCATTACCATTGGGTTCAAATATGCAATCACATCATCCTTCACCCGAATTTTCCAGTTTGTACATTTATCATTCAGATTGTAAATTTTACGTTGATTTCCATAAATAAGGTTAGTTTGCATTTACATACAAACAATTATTAAAATTAATGTGCGGCATCAGCTATAGCTGCATATTCTGTATATATCTTGTATATTTTAAAAGTACGTCGTTATCTCTCTGATCCAGGCCTAATCTGGTATTATCTTATTATCTACTACGAAACAGGAATGATGTACAACACGAAGGTCAGTTTGGTGTGGACTGTCCCAGACACAAGATAACGTAAGTCAGAAACACTTATATACTCTTATCTTAGACAGGTATGTCCTTCTATCTCAGCGTGTATAAACTCTCTTCAAATTAAGACAAAAAATCATAAAAAGGTAAAAAAAAAATTACCTGGTTTAAAACCTTTCAGTCCTCCAGTTGCTGTTAAGACCTTCTTCAATAAAGTTATCTAACTTGTTCTAATTTCAGCTTCAATACAGCCTAGCTATGAAACTGTTGGTAGCCATTACTGTGTGCCTAGCACTCACTTGTACTACCCAGGGATCCTTTATGGACGATCTAAAACTGTCCTTCTCTCACATCGGTGACGCCTTTACGCAAACTTTCCATCAAATGGGCCAGCAGGCCACGGATGTTGGCAATCAACTGCTGAACCAGGCTGCAGAACAGGGCAAGCAATTACTAGGCCAGACAGCTCACAGTATGTTTGCTATCTTTTTCTTTTAAATGTGAATATTCCAAAGTTAAAAACAATTTTAATTTCAGAATAAAGACAAGTCAGACTGGAATCCAAGGTCTTTCGCAAGTGGAGCAATTTAGGATTAAGTACAAAAAGATAGGTTTTCATTTCTGTCTTATTTCCTCATATGACTCCTTTTGACAGTCAATCAGAAACACGAAACACAGACATATGAAAATGTCTAACAGTACAGTCAAAATGGTGCTCCACAAAGACTTAAATATTTTACGCACCATCCCTGTTTCGTTTAGGTTTGCTAGTTGGTACAATAAACGCATTCACAGGAACATCAGCACCGCCAGCAGCCACAAAGCGCGACCTGAGGTGAGTTTATCTTCAGATATGTAAAATTTATTGTGTTTTAAAGTTAGGCCATTTACATATTAACGAATGAAACAGTGAATATATTTTCTTGATTGGTTGAGGAGGGTCCATTTATCTTATTATATGTATCATGAGTTTGTTTAATGGTTTTGATCGAGTCAACATGTATAACAATATGTAGTCTGGACCTAACTAGTGTCAGTGCGCATGCTCTGTTAGCTGGCAGGAATGTGGATTTCTGGGATATATTGCACCGATGCTGCACTTTACATCATTTCGTCATGTATTTGTCTATCAGGTTTTCTTTGAATATGTTTGGCTTACTGCCAATTTATCTAAAATGAAGATATTTCCATTTTGTTGTACAAGATTTCAAGAAGAATGCTTTTTATAATATCAAAATTTAGAAGCCTCTTCCGGTAGTTCGAAATGTTATATTTGTAGGTCCCTTGTGTAGTTATCGTAGTTGGTTTTTATTGTATAGGTCAACATGTTTGTAACATAATATACTCACACAAATCCTTTCTTACACTACAACACTATCCTGAAAGGATGCAGATGTCTGTTTGATTCCTGCCTGTTTGGTAAATACTTGTATTAATAAAATTTCTTTTGACATAAATACATGTGCTTTGTATTCAGTGCAGTAACACAGCAACTTCAGCCATATTTAAACCTCGCACAGCAAACTATTGACGCAAAAAGCAGCCAGCTTCAGGGTTTATTCCAGAGTGCCTTGGGCAGATTGGAGGAAATTTCTCACCAAATCCCCGATTTGTCGCCAGCAGAAATTTCAGCTAAGGTTGACAGTGTTGTCTGTAAGTTAGAATACTGATCGAATAATGATCAGATTCACTTAACATACCAACTTCATCGACGAAATATTGTCACGATATTACAAACTGCAAGAATCTCTAAAATTCGTTCTCGTTAAGTATTTGCGATATGTAAACGTTGTGCAACGAATTTTAAAATCATTTATCTTTTTTTTTTCTGCCAACATGTTCGAATAAAAATAAGTGTAGTTTCCAATATGAATCATAAAAATGCATCAAACAATGGATACTTATACCTATATCATATGCTTAATATAATTTTATATTTAAGTGAAGAAATTTGCTTATTACAGCATCACATGGTATGTTAGCTGGCCACTTTCTCCATGATCTTCAATCTGTTTTGGCTACCCACCAGAAGAGAAATGCGCTCTCTGATACCTTGTCTACAGTTGGAAACAACATTGTGTCACTGTTCGCGTCCCATGTCCATGCTGTGAACAACGTAAGATTTTTACACACAGAATTCAGAGACAGTAAACATTTGGGTTTCTTACAATTAGTATAAGCATGCACGTAACATAATTTAAAACTTCAACTTTGATAGATTTTTGAAGATTGATAAACAAGTTTATGTTTACTTTTCAAGAAGTGATTTTGATATCGATATATGTAATCAGGAAACAGTAAACATCAAAAGTAAACTACATTATCATTAATGTTACTTCCCATCGCTAATTCTAGTTCTTATCTCTATACGTACAATTCATAACTGTAGTATTTAATTCACAAGGTAGATGTCTTCTATATATATACAGCCTTGTATTGCTGAAGGACACTTTGTCTTATTCTCAATATGTTTCTTTTTCAATATTTTTTTCCTTGATTTCATTTTCTCTTTTTTGTATCTTAATCTATCTTAATTTTATTTTCCAACAAATTAAACGGTTGGTTATAGATTCTAGACAATGCAGGGTCCCTCATTAAACAGCAATCACAGTCCGTTGCTCAGTCCATGGCAGAAACGTTGTCAACGCTAGGAGGAAAACTGGGTCAACAACTATCTCATATGGGCACTTCCGGTGACGTCATCATCAACCAAGGCACCAATGCTCTCAACACGCTGAAAGGCGTGGCGTCAGCTCTTACCCGTACGTACAGATTTGCTCTTAATTCACACGTACTTGTATGCGTTTCAAATCAAGTCTGTAAAATCCACGCTCTGTTCATTTTACGTATCCTACTGAAGCATATCTAAATCTGCCGAATATATAGGGACAGTATAATGATTCTTTACAGGTTTCTAACCATTATTACGTAGAAATAATTTAAACTAGCGCTGATTTATGTAAATCTGCAATACACAAGAAGAAAATAAGAGAAAGTACATGTATGTATAGACTGTGCTGGTACACATTTGTTTTTTTCTTTTTTTTAATTTGCATGTTCTTTTATGAGTAAAATCCTCATGAGCTGTGGACGTGTGAAATACTAAGAATTTTGTACTACAAACAATCGTATCTATTTTTATCCTATGTAACACGAGGTGCTGTGATCAGTTGACGAATTGCCATCAACACAAAGCTTCACAATCAGTAGACTAGATTAAGAGGCAAAAGAAATATGTAACGTGTTATCTTTTTCAGACCAAGCAATGTCCAATGTTCATCCCGATGTACTCAACTAAATGCTGACTACAAAATTGTTCAATCTGCTCAGGGGAAAGGAACCCATATGCCAATTATGATATTACACTTTATCAAACATTCATTAAAATGTGTCAGCGTCTTTTATCGATTGCAATGGTATTTCGTTAAAAAAAGAAAGAAATAGGGTCTAGATCGTCGTTTAAAATATTCTCAATATTTGCGATAGTCAATAGGTTGATGTCCCTGCTTTACATATATATGTATATGCAAAAACACAACAAAACAAAAACAAAAAAGCAAACAATCAAAAACAAAAAATAACAAAAAAAAGAAAAAGAAAAAGCAAAATACCTCCACGTTAATAAATCTTAATTCAAACATAAAACCTATAAAACGACGCTTCACATGGGAAACATCTTTTTTTGTCATCAACAGCAACCATCATATTAATTGCAATAAATTTAAGAAAGAAATGTGACGCCACAGAACCAAAATTAGTTTAAAGAAACAAATAAGCCTGACTAACTACCGAATATTGATCACACCAAAAAAGATAGATTTACGCGGAGATTCGTTTGTCTGTGGAAAATCTGTGCAGGCTGAATTCCTGCTGTTTTTTTTTTTTTTTTTTTTTCCAAAGCATGATACCGCAATTCATTGAAGTGTGTTATGTACATTTAAAGTAAAAACACTTCCGTCCGGGGTATTTGTTGTCAGTGTTATAAACTATACTCAAACTACTTGTTCTTTTTGAAAAAAGATGATACAAAATATGTCTACATAAATACAGAAATGGCGTCCAATGTGTCAATTTAGATCTTCATGAATATATGATATGTTGAAATGAAAACTCGGCGATGTATTCTGTAACAGATAAATCTGAATTATCTCGTGGGTCATGGATTTCAGGGAGATCACGTGATATACGTCCTATATAAAGACAGGAATAAGGTTCGTTGTGGGAACGGGACATCTGTATATAGTACACTGACCTCATCTTATATATTTGACACTATATAAATCACCATGGGGTTAAATCTATCTTGTTCATATGACAAATCTAAAACTTAATACAACAATAAAAAATGATGTCGAAGAATTAATTCAGAAACTTATTTATTTGGTTTCATTTACAGCTCTTTTTTTAGGATGAAATAAGTTCGTGATAAACAGGAATTACTTAACATGCTAGTCCATATAACGAAATTCGTAAAATATATCTATTATTTCGTCCTGAATCTGGAACTGTCGTTGTCGAAATACACCTGCCACATATAGTTTTCCTGTATTCGGCAGTGACGGAAAACAGTCGTATTTTAGCACGTGCGATAATTCGACAGAATTACACACTGAATTTACTTCAATATTACGTTTACAGATATAAATAGTTGTTGAAATAGGCGATTAAATATGTTCTAATGAATAAGTTGAATTAATCAATAAATCGCTGTTGTATCCGATTAAGTTTGGAACTGTTTCCGCGTGGAGCAATTTTTTGGCGTCCGTCATCAGGCAAAATGCTGCGAAACGTCTTTGTCAGGTAAACACAGATTGAGCAACAAATCTGTTTGTTTTCGATTTTCAAACAATGTTGCAGGATAAGTAGGATGCATGGTCAGTGTCTTAAGATATAAGCTGTAGAAAGACAAAAGTGGCGGGCCAGGGGCTTTTACTTTAAGACACTGACCATGTATTCTCTATTTCCTAATAGCTTTTAATAATATTACAAATCATTAAAAACATTAGAAAAAAAAAAAAACACACACACACACACACACACACACACACACACACACACACACACACACACACACACACACACACACACACACACACACACACACACACACACACACACACAAAGATTACAGTGAAATATGTTATGAATCGATCAACACTTAACAGCATTCGTTTTACCCCTTTAGTCTACAATTTTCCTCTGAAAATTATTCCGCTGCGCTAACTAGTCAACCGGCAACGACATTCTTCGTTATATTGTTGAACAACATATACAGGCTTTAAGGATTAAATTGTTGTAGTTCGACTGGTACTAGTAGAAAAAACAATAAACAACAATATGGAGACCATTTTACACCTTTATTTGTATTCAATAAATCATCAGCTGGCATTTTTTATTATTGTTTCAATGGCACTATTAGCCAGAGAATTTGTCACCCGCTGACCTACGTCCATTACTGTCTGACGTCCAGTCTGTATAACGTTTGTCAGACGGGATATTGCATCCTGTGATACTCCGCCTGAAAAAGAAACAGTAAAATTCTGTATAACATTGCTGAATAGTTTTCAGTGGTACTACCGAGGGGATTTATAGCCTGTCAGTCTGTATGTCCGTTAGTAGTACTACCGAGGGGATTTATAGCCTGTCAGTCTGTATGTCCGTTAGTAGTACTACCGAGGGGATTTATAGCCTGTCAGTCTGTATGTCCGTTAGTGGTACTACCGAGGGGATTTATAGCCTGTCAGTCTGTATGTCCGTTAGTGGTACTACCGAGGGGATTTATAGCCTGTCAGTCTGTATGTCCGTTAGTGGTACTACCGAGGGGATTTATAGCCTGTCAGTCTGTATGTCCGTTAGTGGTACTACCGAGGGGATTTATAGCCTGTCAGTCTGTATGTCCTTATGTGGTACTACCGAGGGGATTTATAGCTTGTCAGTCTGTATGTCCGTTAGTAGTACTACCGAGGGGATTTATAGCTTGTCAGTCTATATGTCCTTATGTGGTACTACCGAGGGGATTTATAGCCTGTCAGTCTGTATGTCCTTATGTGGTACTACCGAGGGGATTTATAGCCTGTCAGTCTGTATGTCCTTATGTGGTACTACCGAGGGGATTTATAGCTTGTCAGTCTGTATGTCCTTATGTGGTACTACCGAGGGGATTTATAGCTTGTCAGTCTGTATGTCCTTATGTGGTACTACCGAGGGGATTTATAGCTTGTCAGTCTATATGTCCTTATGTGGTACTACCGAGGGGATTTATAGCCTGTCAGTCTGTATGTCCTTATGTGGTACTACCGAGGGGATTTATAGCTTGTCAGTCTGTATGTCCGTTAGTAGTACTACCGAGGGGATTTATAGCTTGTCAGTCTGTATGTCCTTATGTGGTACTACCGAGGGGATTTATAGCTTGTCAGTCTGTATGTCCGTTAGTAGTAATACCGAGGGGATTTATAGCCTGTCAGTCTGTATGTCCTTATGTGGTACTAACGAGGGGATTTATAGCTTGTCAGTCTGTATGTCCGTTAGTAGTACTACCGAGGGGATTTATAGCTTATCAGTCTGTATGTCCTTATGTGGTACTACCGAGGGGATTTATAGCTTGTCAGTCTGTATGTCCGTTAGTAGTAATACCGAGGGGATTTACAGCTTGTCAGTCTGTATGTCCTTATGTGGTACTACCGAGGGGATTTACAGCTTGTTAGTCTGTATGTCCGTATGTTGTACTACCGTGGGGATGTATAAGTTTGTCATTCTTTATGTCCTTATTTGTTACTACCAGAGGATACTGGCAGGTTATCAGTCTGTTTTTCCATCAGAGGCAATATCAGAGACAAGTCAAGCTAGTTCAGTTTTGTTTCCGTCTGTTACATTAAAGTCAATGTAACATCGTTGCAAGCAGTTGAGGATTAAAAAATGTTGTTAAGCTTTAAAATATTACAGTGTATACGACCGAAGACGTTTAAAGATTTCATTTCATATCGAATGGGAATTCCTTTCAATATCAACAAAAGATTTCGGTAGCTCATTCTAGACAGCTATTTGAATATTGGATAATATAAAATATCTATTTAAGCCATACAGACAATTAACTTATCAATCCCTCCGACTGTATTAGGATTATGTTCTCTTTCACATACTGTTAGATTTTGAATCCGAAAATTGTTTGATAAGATTTGTGTATAGGTAAATCCTAGCGACATTATAACACACTGTGTGACGTCTTACCGTGTAAACTAATGGATTGCTGAACTGTGGACATGATGTCACCGAGTGTTTGTTTCAGAGTCGACCCCATGGTTGCCACAGCCTAAACCGGAAAGTTTCCAACTCGTAATTCAATAGGTATAAAATCAGGTATTTTGATGAAAATGTGTTATGAATTAGGAATGTGATTTTAACAATTGAAAAAAATCACTATTGATACAAGGATAATAAACCACGGATACGATATAACTGGGCTCTGTCGAATTTCTCCTGATTAGTACCAAAGAAGAGAAATAGAGTTCCGATTAATTTGGTCAAAATACAAACACAGGTGTAGCAATAAACAATCACTTACAGTTTCGATATTATTCAAATGTGGCTTCATGGTAGTGGCAAAATTATCTGCAAGGTCAAGGTCATTTGACGTAGTTGATCCCGCGAGTATGTCCTTGATTTCGTTTGTGATGCCAGCCATTAATGAATCGGAGAGGGAATGATGACCCGCTATAAATAGATAGAAATGTTTACTACCTGATGTTATCGATAGACATGTACATCATGTTAATTATTGCTAAAAGAGGAAATCATTATTGACAAGGCACGTGTAAAAGAGATGTTTATTTCCACATAATAGTAAACTTGTACATTTGTACGTGTTAAAGGATTTCTTCTGTTCATTTTGCTGTAGTTTTATTGAATTTGGATTTAGATTATGATTATGTTGACACGCTTACTCTTCCGGAACACATGGTCTTATTCTCCTTGTATTGTATGGGAATATCCGTGTAGATCTTCCATTTGTTCATATTTTGCCCTAGTTTTATTTGGGTTTGAGTTTTGATTATGACATGCTTATTCTTCCGGAACACCTGGTCTTATTCTCCTTGTACTTTGTCAGGAGTCTCCGCGTAATTTTTTCTTTTGTTCATATTTCGCCCAAGTTGTTTGGATTATGATTATGTTGACAAGTAGTTTTTTGTTTGTTTTTTCTATTCGATCATTTTGATCCGTTCTGTTTATTAATGTTATTAATTCACGGGTCGTGTACCAACCTCACGTGACTAATCATAACACTAAACAGTCTACTTATAG